AGCTCCATCAGGGCATTTGTGTTCTTCTCTAAATTGGTTATTCTAGTTATCAATTCCTCTAACCTTTTTCAAGGTTCTTTGCTTCCTTGCATTGGGTTAGAACATGCTCCTTTAGCTTAGAGAAGTTTGATATTACCCACTTTCTGAAGCCTACTTCTGTCATTTTGTCAAACTCATTCTCCATTCAGTTTTGTTCCCTTGCTGGTGAGTAGTTGTGATCCTTAGGAGGAGAAGAAGCATCTGGATTTTGGAATTTTTCCTCATTTTGGTGGATTTATCTACCTTTGGTCTTTGATATTGCTGACCTTTGGATGGCGTTTTTGAGAGGATGTCCTTTTGGTTGATATTGATGCTATTCCTTTCTGTTTGTTAGTTTTCTTTTTAACAGTCAGGCCCCTCTGCTGCAAGTCTGCTGGAGTTTGATGGAGGTCCACTCCAGACCCTGTTTGCCTGAGTGTCACCAGCAGAGGCTGCAGAACAGCAAAGATTGCTGCTTGTTCCTTCCTCTGGAAGTTTTGTCCCAGCCAGAGCTCTCCTGTATGAGTTGTCTGTTGACCCCCACTGGGAGGTATCTCCTAGTCAGGAGGCATGGGGGTCAGGGACCCACTTGAGGAGTCAGTTGGTCCCTTAGCAGAGCTTGAGCACTGTGTTGGGAGATCTGCTGCTCTCTTCAGAGCTGGCAGGCAGGAAGGTTTAAGTCTGTGCCCACAGCTGCCCCTTCCCCCAGGTGTTCTGTCCTGAGGAGATGAGAGTTTTATCTATAAGCCCCTGACTGGGGCTGCTGCCTTTCTGTCACAGATGCCCTTCCTGGAGAGGAGGAATATAGAAAGGCAGTCTGGCTACAGTGGCTTTGCAGAGCTGTGATGGGCTCTGCTTGCTTCTAACTTCCTGGTGCATTTGTTTACATCGTTAGGGGAAAACTGCCTACTCAAGCCTCAGTAATGGTGGACACCCCTCCCTCCACCACACTGGAGTGTCCCAGGTTGACTTCAGACTGCCATGCTGGCAGCAAGAACTTCAAGCCAGTGAATCTTAGCTTGCTGGGCTCCATGGGGGTGGGATCTGCTAAGATAGACCATTTGGCTCCCTGACCTCAGCCCCCTTTCCAGGGAAGTGAACTGTTCTGTTTCACTGGCATTCCAGGCACCACTGGGGTATGAAAAAAAAGAAAAACTCCTGCAGCTAGCTTGGTGTCTGCCTAAACAGCTGCCCAGTTTTGTGCTTCAAATCCAGGGCCCTGGTTGCATAGGCACCTGAGGGAATCTTCTGGTCTGCAGGTTGTGGAGACAGTGGGAAACACATAGTATCTGGGCTGGAGTGCAACATTCCTCATAGCACTGTCCCTCATGGCTTCCCTAGGCTAGTTAGGGGAGAGAGTTCCCCAACCCTTTGTGCTTCATGGGTGAGGAGATGCCCCACCCTGCTTCTGCTCACCCTCCATTGGCTGCACCTTGTGTCTAACCAGTCCAGATGAAATGAGCTGGGTACCTCAGTTGGAAATGCAGAAATTACCTGACTTGTTTTCTTTGCATTGGTTTCTCTGGGAGCTGCAGATGGGAGGTGTTCCTATTCTACCATCTTCCCAGCCACCAGGTTTTTTTTTTTCTTTTTGAGAGGGAGTCTTGCTCTGTTGCCTAGGTGGAGTGCTGTGGTGTGATCTTGGCTCACTGCGACATCTGTCTCCTTGGTTCAATCAATTCTCCTGCCTCAGCCTCCCCAGTAGCTAAGATTACAGGTGTGTGCCACCACACCTGGCTAATTTTTGTGTTTTTAGTAAAGAAGTGGTTTTGCCATGTTGGCCAGACTGGTCTCAAACTCCTAACCTCAGGTGATCCACCCACTTCAGCCTCCCAAAGTGCTGGGATTACAGGTGTGAACAACCACACCTGGCCACACAGAGTTTTTTTAAACAGAATCATAGTAGTAAATGGCAATTCCATTTGTTCAATTGCTCATTTGAACCTTGGTATCATCCTTAGACTCCCATTTACTCACATGCTTTAAATCCAGTTTCTCACAAATCCCGTTGGTTCTGCCTTCAAAGTATTCCCGAATCAGACCCGCTTTTCACCACCCTCTCTAGTACTTCACTGTAGCCTCTCATCAGAATCATTGCCATTGTCTCTCTCTGTATTCATTGTTGTCCTTGTAGTCCATTTTTCATACCATACAGTTACGAAAAGGTCACTGTAGTGACCCTGTTAAAATCTAAGATCATTTTTTTTTGCTTACACCTTCTAATGGTTTCCCATCTTACTCACAATGAAAGTCCTTACAGGGTCCTTCTCTGTAAAATAAAGTACCTCTCTGACTTTATTTTATTTTTTACTACTCTCCCGTTTCTAATCTAACACCAGCCACATTGGCTTCCTTCCTGGTTCTCATTTATAGCAAACTCTGCCTCAGGGCCTTTGTACCAAGGTGACTGCCTGGAAAGCTCTTTCCTTATCCTTAAGCTCTGTCCCCCACTAACTTTGGATTTCTCTTCAAATGACATATTATTAAAGATCCTATGCCAGACAACCCTATCTAAAATAGTACCCCCAATCTACCCAGCCCAGCATTCCCTATCCTCTCACCCTGCTTTATTTTTCTTCATAACACTTATCACCAATTAACATATATTTCTTTGTCTGTTTATTTTCTTTCTGGAATATATTAGGCACACAATGTATATTTGAATGACTATTGATGAAATGGGTATCAAACATTCCTGTGATCTTTTTTTTTTTTGAGATGGAGTTTCACTCTTGTTACCCAGGCTGGAGTGCAATGGCACAATCTTGGCTCACCACAACCTCCGCCTCCTGGGTTCAAGCAATTCTCCTGCCTCAGCCTCCTGAGTAGCTGGGATTACAGGCATGCGCCACCATGCCCAGCTAATTTTTGTATTTTTAGTAGAGACGGGGTTTCACCATGTTGACCAGGATGGTCTCAATCTCTTGACCTCGTGATCCACCTGCCTCGGCCTCCCAAAGTGCTGGGATTACAGGCTTGAGCCACCGTGCCCCACCCACATTCCTGTGATCTTAATTAGTCATCCGACTTCCCAGCATCCCACAGTTTGGGTTAAGGAATAGGCTTTTCTGGAAAAACAAAAGTGGGCCCTGTCTCTGATCCTCCCACCTAGCAGAGAATGCCAGGGCCAAGTGCTGTGGCTGTGGCCACTCTTCCTTCTTGCAGGGCAAGCATAAAGATATTAAGTCAGTAGGAGTAAAGGGTGAGGTAAATGGGCTTCTTGGGCATGAGGAAGTCAAGGTTTAGATGTGAGCTGTTTAGAGGAGTTGTTTGGAAAAGCTGTCTCCCCTGAAGCTGGTGACTAGTGTCCCCATTACATAAAGGAGAAAGCTACTCCTTTTGTAGGAGGCTGAGTTTGAATGTGGCCCCTTCCTGCTGGGAGAAAGGGGACCCCTGGTTTCAAATAACTCATCTGGGCAACTCAGAGTGAGGCCTAGGGTTACTTTCAGAAACTTCTGCTTGCCACACCGCAGTGAACAAGAATGTTCTTGTGAGAAGGGACAGAGGACACCATCCCTTTTTTACTGCACAGTATTCACTTGTATCCATCTAGACTTATATCTTCTGACTCCATTCTCCCTGTCACATAACAGCCAACAGCACACACATTGCTCTGCTGTGAGCTACACAGTGAAGACCAAGAAAGTGATCTGAGATAGCAGCTAGACTTAGACTAAGTGTGGAATAGTTGAGTAGGTAGGACTTGCATTGGTCCAGATCACAGCTTGTCTCAAGCTAAAAATATAGGAAGATTGGGTAGGGCTCATAAAAAAAAGACCCATAGGGTCATATCTCAGAGGCTAGAGTCCAAGATGAGAGCCCAACATACTCTACCGTGAGGGCAGACCTTAGCTCTGACGGCAGGTGGAAAACCCTGGCCCACACTGTGGCTGTTATAAAAGAAGCTTGGTCATGGGAGCTCCAGTTGGAGCAAAGAGGCTATGAGTGGAATCTTCAAAGAGAGCTCCCACTTGGAAATCTCCCAAATCTTGCTCCTAGGTGTTGGTATTCTTTATTTTAATTCTGAAAAAGATATCACAAAGATTTCCGGATATAAAATATTATTCTGATTTCCTGACAGGGATATAGGAGGGAGGGTATGATGATATGAACCTAGTTGATGTCTAGTGACATTACTTATTTAACTTTGTCAGTATTGATCAAGGCCGTGTAGGAGTCTCTAGTCAAAGGAATTCTGTGATTAACTTTTTAAAATTTTATTATTTACCCTAAACGTATGTTTTTGAGAATCGAGGGATTTTTGTGTGACTCACATACTGTCTCTGTTGTTCAGTATGTATATATTTCAAACTAGACAGGTAAAGTCATCCAACCTAATGATTTTGCTTTCATGAATTGACTCATTAAATTTATGAGTATGATAGATTCATTTTAATATTTAATAATGTATCTGTTTCCACATCTATGTTCAGATTGTTTATAACCTTTATCGATATTTCAGAATTTCACTGTAATCACTCTGCCAGACTTCTATGCTGAATCTTTACTTTTCCTTCATCTTTCTTTTTTTTTCATGAATACCTTGTAGAAAACAGCATGCCTACTCTACAGCACTTTAGGTGGTATTGTTTTCTCAATGATGGGGAAAAAAGAGATTTAGGATCACATGGTCTGGTATCTTTGGACCCTGCCCTATACTGTGTATTCTCAGTAGTTGAAATATTACAGTTCGTTATCTCAGAACATTTTCCAAAGGGGAGGAAGAGCTATTTCAGCTCTTTCAATCTTTCAGTGAAGAATTGCTAAGATAGACTACAGAAAAATAATATTGTGTACTCAATGTTAAATGAGTTTTAAGTTCAGTGAAATTTCATTGTAACACAATTTCAGCTAGAACTTGGTCTGTGAGTGACAGGATCAGAAGCACAGTTCACAGTAAGATTCTAGTACATTTTATTTATTTGCATATTAATCATTGAAGACAAGCATGAAAACTTATTTTCCTTTTTGGTATTCAACAGAGACCAGTAAACCATAGTTATCCCAAATGCTTTTCACTTGGTGGTAATTTACAAAATGTTGATGAGAGTGAAGATGAAGAGTTTATGAAAGAATTCATTTTGACAGATTTAGTCAAAGTAAAAGCTGCTGAATATGAAGATGATCAAGAACAAATAAAAAAACAGAAGGCAAATATTTTTGTACCAAGTAGTTCTCCAGGTAATATTCTTTTCCAGTAAAACATTCAAGTCATTAATGAATTATGTTATGGAATAATAGCTTTTCTGTATGCCGGATAAATAAAAAGTACTGATATAAAATTATAGTAACTTTTCTATATTTGTTTTTCATAACTTTCCTGAATTAAGGGAACTGATTAAGAGAACCCATTCTCCGTTTAAAAACTGTACATATATATGCAGAGAGAGAGAGAGAGAGAAAGCGAGAGAGAGGCTTTTTGCTAGACTTTAGTAGTAGAGTGTAATTATAGTCGTTTGTACTACTTATTTGGTCAATATTCATTTAACATTTTGGACTTTGATATCTAAGTTTCATTGTTATTAAGTGGTCAACCAGCGCAAACTGCCAAAAGATATGATGCCACGTATTTTAGAAGATGAAGGATTCTATATTCAGAGAAAGCCAGAAATATATAAAAAGACCTGCAACAAAATGGAAAATCGCCTGCTTAAACTAGAAGAGGCAAGTGTAGCAGTTAACAAGTTAGAACACTGGCTAGTATGTGACTTTCTTTGTAAAATATTTAATTACTGTACTTAAATATTTTTGATAGGGAAAGCGTTGGTTTGGAGAAAGTGGAGAAATACTGTCATTACCTACACCTATTAAACAGTCATGGAATTTCAGACTAAACATAAGGAAGGAATCTTTAAATCCATTACTTAAGACCATATACAGAAAGGTAACCAATGACAATTTGTTTGTAATTATGGTTAAAATTCTACTAATATCAATTATAACTGATGTTTTTGTGCTATTGATTTATCCTTTAAAAATGCTATGTCTACATTATGATGAAATGTTAAATAACCCTTAAAATTATAGTTTCAAGGAATATTTAATGATATGGGGAAATGCTCAAAATAAAATGTGAAGTGAAAAAAGCAGAATGCAAAATTATATATGATCTAAATTTTACAAAAATAATAAATGAATGATACTAAACGTAACCACTGTTATAACTTCTACCACTATAGATTACTCTTGTCTGTTAGTTTTACCTATTTTGTATGAATGGAATAATACAATAGGTATGCTATATTGTTATGTACAGCAATAGCTTGTTCATTTTTGTTGTTGTATAGAACTCCATGGTATGAAAAATACATTTATTTATTAACCATTCTTCTGTTGATGGATATAAGTTACATCCAGTTGTTGGCTATTACTAATAACACTACCATGAAATTTTATACATCTTCTGATAACTGTATGTATAAGCATTTTCTGTGTGATATATATCTGAGTAGAAATGCTGGGTTATCAGTTTATGTGTGTTTAGTTTTACTATATAGTGCCAAATGATTTTCTAAAATGGTTGTACCAAACTATACACAAACTAAGAATTGTGTGAGTGTTCAGCTGTTTTATATTCCTGCCAACATTTGGTATTACCTGTCTTTTAAATCATAGCCATTCTGGTGTACATAAGTGGAACTTATTCAAGTTTTAATCTGCGTTTCCCTGATGCCTAATGAAACTGAACACGTTTTCATGTCTGTTGGCTATTAGGACAGCCTCTTTTGTGAAAGCTTGGTTAAGACTTTTACCCATTTTTTCTTATTGGATTGTCTGCTTTTTCTTATTGATGTATTGATTTCTAGATATGAGCCCTCAAATAATCTACTCTGTGGCTAATCTTCTCACTGTCTGTATTAGTCCATTATCACACTGCTAAAAGAAATACTTGAAATGGAGTAGTTTATAAAGAAAAGAGGTTTACTTGGCTCGCAGTTCTACAGGCTGTACAGGAAGCATGATGTTGGCACAGGAAGCATGATGTTGGCATCTGTTTGGCTTCTGGAGAGGCCTCAAGAAACCTCTGAGGAGGCCTCAGGAAACTTGCAATCATGATGGAGGGCAAAGAGGAAGCTGGCACTTCACAAGGCCAGAGTAGGAAGAAGAGAGAGAAAAGGGGAGGTGCCAAACACTTTTAAACAACTAGATCTCCTGAGAACTCTATCACTAGAACAACCCCAAGGGGATGGTGTTAAACCATTCATGAAGGAACTACCCCCATCACTTTGCACCAGGCCCTACCTCCAACACTGTGGATTACAGCTCAACAGAAGATTTGGGTGGGGACACAGATCCAAACCATATCACTCTCTTAATGGTGGTTTTTGAATATATATATATATATATATATATATATATATATATATATATATATAAAATTGTACTTTAGGTTCTGGGGTACAGGTGCAGATCATGCAGGATTGTTGCATAGGTACACACATGGAAATGTGGTTTGCTGCCTTCATCCCCCCGTCATTTACATCTGGCATTTCTCCCCATGTTATTCCTCCCCGACCTCCCCATCCCCCCGCTGTCTCTCCCTTGGCTCCCCACAACAGACCCCAGTGTGTGATGTTCCCCTCCCTGTGTCCATGTGTTCTTACTGTTCAACACCCGCCTGTGAATGAGAACATGTGGTGTTTGATTTTCTGTTCTTGTGTCAGTTTGCTGAGAATGATGGTTTCCAGATTCATCCATGTCCCTACAAAGGACACAACTCATCGTTTTTTATGGCTGCATAGTATTCCGTGGTGTATATGTGCCATATTTTCCTTGTCCAGTCTATCGTCGATGGGCATTTGGGTTGGTTCCAGGTCTTTGCTATTGTAAACAGTGCTGCAGTGAACATATGTGTGCATGTGTCTATAATAGAATGATTTATAATCTTTTGGGTATATACCCAGTAATGGGATTGCTGAGTCAAATGGAATTTCTATTTCTAGGTCCTTAAGGAAGTGCCACACTGTCTTCCATAATGGTAGAACTAGTTTACACTCCCACCAACAGTGTAAAAGTGATCCTATTTCTCTGCATCCTCTCCAGCATCTGTTGTCTCCAGATTTTTTAACGATCGCCATTCTAACTGGCATGAGGTGGTATCTCAATGTGATTTTGATTAGCATTTCTCTAATAATCAGTGATTATGAGCACTTTTTCATGTTTGTTGGCCTCATATATGTCTTCTTTTGAAAAGTGTCTGTTCATATCCTTAGCCCACTTTGGGATGGGTTTGTTTGTTTTCTTCTTGTAAATCTGTTTCAGTTCTTTGTAGATTCTGGATATTAGCCCTTTGTCAGATGGGTAGATTGCAAAATTTTTTTCCCATTCTGTTGGTTGCTGGTTCACTCTAATGATTGTTTCTTTTGCTGTACAGAAGCTCTGGAGTTTAATTAGGTTCCATTTGTCTATTTTGGCTTTTGTTGCCAATGCTTTTGGTGTTACGAGATATTCTTAATTTTAATGTAGTATAATTTACCTTTTTTTTCCTTTAGTATTAGCACCTTTTATATTCCTGTTAAGAAACTGTGCCTACTCCAGGTTTCAAAAATATTCTTTTGTTTTTATTCTAAAAGGTTTATTTTCTAGGCACAGTGGCTCACGCCTGTAATCCCAACACTTTGGGAGGCTGAAGCAGGTGGATCACGAGGTCAAGAGATCAAGACCATTCTGGCCAACATGGTGAAACTCCATCTCTACTAAAAATACAAAAAAAAAAATAGCTGGGTGTGGTGGTGCACACCTGTAGTCCCAGCTACTCAGGCAACTGAGACAGAAGAATCACTTGAACCTGGGAGGCAAAGGTTGCAGTGAGCTGAGATCACACCACTCCATCTCAAAAAAAAAAAAAAAAAGTTTATTTTATGTACCTTTCTCATTTAGAGGTAACACCCATCTGGAAAGTACTTTCTGTGTGTAGTGTTAGGTAGGGGGTCATATTTCATTTTATTTACATGGATATCCAATTGACTTAGTACCATTTATTGAAAAAAATCCATAAACCTTTTCTCGTAATTCATTGTAATCTTTGACATTCGTCAGTCGACCTTCTATGTCTATAAGAATAGGACTAGTCAATGGAAAGACATCCCATGCTCATGGGTTAGAAGACTTAACATTGTTAAAAAATATCCATACTTTTCTCAAAGCAGTAGAAAATAAAGAATTAAAAAAAATATATATTCATACTACCCAAAGTGATCTGCAAATTTAGAGTAATCCATTTCAAACCCTCAGTGATATTTTTTACAGAAATGGGAAAAAAATCAGTAATTAATAAGGAACCACAAAGGACCTTCAAGGTAGAAGCTTCATATTCCTGACTTCAAACTATATTACAAAGCTACATTAATCAAAAAGATGAACATATGGACCAGTGGAACAGAATGAAGAGCCCAGAAATAAACTCACATATATACGGTCTAATGATCTTCAAGAGGGTACCAGGACTACACTATGGGGAAATGATAGTCTCTTCAACAAATGGTGCTGGGAAGACTGGATATCCATGTGCAAAAGAATGAAATTGGACCTTTATCTTACATCATACACAAAAATCAACTCAAGATGGAGAAATACCTAAGAACAAGACCTGAAACTATAAAACTTGTAGATGAAAACATAGAGGAAAGTATTTATTTATTTATTTATTATTTTTAAAATTGCATTTTAGGTTTTGGGGTACATGTGAAGAACATGCAGAATTGTTGCATAGGTACACACATGGCAGTGTGATTTGCTGCATTCCTCCCCATCACCTATATCTGGCATTTCTCCCCATGGTATCTCTCCCCAACTCCCCACCCCACACTGTCCCTCCCCTATTTCCCCCTGACAGACCCCAGTGTGTGATGCTCCCCTCCCTGTGTCCATGTGTTCTCATTGTTCAACACCCACCTATCAGTCAGAACATGCAGTGTTTGATTTTTTGTTCATGTGTCAGTTTGCTGAGAATGATGGTTTTCAGGTTCATCTGTTTCCCTTCAAAGGACACAAACTCACCGTTTTTTATGGCTGCATAGTATTCCATGGTGTATATGTGTCATATTTTCCCTGCCAGTATATCATTGATGGGCATTTAGGTTAGTTCCAAGTCTTCGCTATTGTAAACACTGCTGCAATGAACATTCGTGTGCATGTGTTCTTATAGTAGAACGATTTATAATCCTTTGGATATATACCCAGTAATGGGATTGCTGGGTCA